AAAACAGGTACTGTACCTTAAAAAGTAACAGGAGACATGGTGTAATACATCACAGATCTAAATAAATCTATGCTGTCATCCAAGCTCATATATAAATACTAAGTCTAATTCATTTCCTTTTACATCATACATGAAGATCTGAAGCACATTCACACACCAATTTCAAGAAACATCTCCCTCGAAATCTGTCTCACACAGATCCTCACACCAAGTGTGCGCAAAACAAGCCCATTAAAACTCGCCTTGCAACTGAGTGGGCCATCAGAAAATAACAGACTTTGGGGCAAGGAAGCACCAGGATGCAAACCAGGTAGGTAATCTGCATTAATTCAAACACAGCTAGATTGTCCACTGAAATGAGAACAGGTAAATCTAGAGATCAAAAATTAATAGCCAGACAGACAGTGGATGCAAAGGTAAACAGTGGCCACAGTTGTTACTAAAATGCCAATAAATTTACACACTTCCTGCACTAAATATTTCAGTATATCATTCAAGAGGAAAGACTACTGAAAATTCTGTCCCTTGCTTTTTCTAATATATGCCATAAAAATCGACAAGCACACTGCAACAGAATGTTTATAAAACAAAGGAAAATATTTCTAAACAGAACCATTTTCTAGTAAAAAGTATTAAAAAATTATAGTCAGTCAAGGTAAACAATGGAGAATTTCTATCATTCATATGAAGCCAAGCAGGGGCAACCCTTCCAATTATTTTTTTTTTTGACAGGTTAGAGAAGTTTAAAGCATCATATTAAATCCAAATCTAATGCACACCAAACTCTCCCCCAGGATAAGCAATGGGAGCGTTCTTCCCCTGTCACTGATTGCTACGCCAGATGATTTAATAAAGATGTAGATTTGATATATGGGGACTTTATTGTGTAACTTCAAGACAAAGGCAATAGCTTTTTTTTTCACTAAATTGTTAAAACTGTAAGTTTCAGCAGCCCAGTGAGACAAAGCAGCACCGGGAATCACAGCTCCCTCGCTGGAAAAGGCGCTGAGCTTTGCTGCTGAACTCGCTTCCACAGCGCTCACCACAACACAGCCGCTCACAGCACATTGCTTACAGCGAGGGTTCAGTGCCTGAAAAACCTCACCAGAGGTCTGACAAACTCAGTCCTGGTAAACAAACTCAGTCTCTTGGTAAAGCCTCTAAAAGAACTAAGCAGTATTTAAAATAAAGCAGGCAGCAGAGTGCACTGGAAAGGGAAAGAAAACAAAGGCTCCCGGCCGCATCTGGACCAAATTTGACCTTTGTTAATGTATTTCTAGTAATTCGCAGATGTTACACACTGCTCCAGCAAGAGGGTTGGCCTGTGGGCTCATTCCAGTGACAGGTTCGGTGTAACAATGAAATATTAACAAAAACTCCTACATGAAGGCTAACGGTGCCGTGTGGCACGTGCCCGTCAGCCCGGACTGACGAGCCCAACAGCCACCGAGCAGAAAAATATACTCCCATCCTTTCCAACCAACACCTGCACAGCTCTGGGTACATACTGATGTCTTCACCTGACATGGGACTTTCAAAATTTCAATTGAAAACTAAAAACCAAAACCCCACCAAGCACTTAATTAGTGGGTGTCTAAAGAATACTAATACACATTTCACTGAAGAGGAAATTGTTCTGGTTCAGTCAAACCAGGAAAAACAAAACCCCATTAAACTGGCCCCAGGTTTTTAAGTGAATTTGATCAGGTTATTCTTTGTCGACTAGAGCTGTGGTGCTGGAAGTCAAGACAACCGCTCTAGACTCAGTGTTATTTATCTCTCACTCGCAGCTGCTAGGCAGAGGAAAACATGAAATTCTAGAAAGCATTTTCAGGGGAAAAAAAACCCAAAACCTACCAGCTACTTCACATAAAACATGTTGGTACAAGAAATGATGCATCAGAGAGAACTCCTTACAGAAAACACATTTCAAGGCAGAGCCACGTCCAGGCAGCATTACTAATACTACATTCCGAAATGGAACGTGAACGCACGCACAGAGCTCGCGGCAGGCCAGCGCGGAGTGTCACACCTCGCAGGGACACCAGCAGCACCGGTGTCTGCTCTCAGCAACCTCCAGACACACAGCTCACACAACTGCCAGAGATCCCCCAATCATTTTAATGCCATTATGGGAAAAAAGATGACCTCTGAGGTATCTGAGTAGCCATTAAAACAACCCAAGTTGTTTCCCCCATAATCTGCGCACTAACAGAGTATTTGAGAAGTTCTGATCCTGCTGTGTTTTGGGGAGCCCGCTCTTTCCTTCATGGCCAGCACTGGAGTCAGACCCTTCGGACCTGGCACTGGCTGAGAGTGGCAGGCAGTGGAAAAATTGCCCAGCACTGCACCAAAGGGAACCTGCCCCCCAACACCCACCGCCCCTTCCTCCACCTCCCCTTCCGCCACCTCCCCGGCACCTGAGGAGCGCCGGTGCCAATCGCAGCAGTGCCACAATAGGAATAAATCCCCAACCGCTCTCACGGCAGGTGTAAACCAGAAACCCCAAACAAGCCTCCACTGGGGAGGACCCCGGGTCTAATGCTGTTCTCACTAACTCCCCAGCCCCAAAACGGTGCCCACCTTCCAGCACGGAACGCCGAGGAACTGCCTGAATTCGGAGGAGCGCTGTCTGGAGCCTGCGCATCCACCCGGACACTGGGTTTGTGCTGGAACACACACCACAGTGCAAATCCCAGCCGACTGAGAAGGTTGAAAATCTCAGCCCACGTCTAAAGAAAGCCTTTTCTTAAACACAGTTTCACACACTCAGGGGTATGGCAATGTTAAGTTTAATTATTTCTACTGACCGAGGTGAACAGCCTGTTTTGTCTCACCCATTGTATCTTTATCATCTCCAACAACAGTTAAAGTAAATTCTCCGTGAGTCTGTATAAATTTCCTCATCCGAGGAACCAGCCCATTCAAATCCCTCAAGTGACTAAAGCATGAACCAACCCGAGCGCCTCTGCATTGTTGTGGAACTGGTTTGCTATTTTATGTTAAGCCTCTGAAAAACTAAAACATATCCTTATATAGGAACACTGATTAAATGGTTTTCCTTCCAAGTGATGAACTGTTTTAACACCAACATTGTGGTTATCGCGACCAGAAAGCAATTACTTCTTTCACTAGCTGTTACTAAGAATAGCTGTGATCAAAGTGACTGGAGGAGTGCTGTTAAAAAGACGCTGCAGAAGCATTGCTCCATATGACACACACAAAATATAGATAATTTTAAACCAAATTACACTTTTAATAAATGTGCTGTTCAGAATTAAATCACTGCTCAGGATTTCTTTTAAATCACTGCTCAGGATTTCTTTTTTCACCCAGGAAGTCAAGATCTGTAGACGTTATTCTTTCAAAATCTATTTCTAAACACAGCACGGGGTGAGATCTGTGTATCTGTGTGTGTGTGAAAGTGCACACATAAGGGGGTGCGTGTGGTGTGAGAGAACGTATGTATGTGCTTGAGCCTGCCAAGGCAGAAGTAACAGGAACTGTGATTTGTGCTAACTAGCTATTGATCCAGTCAGATCTAGATGTTGTGTACAAGAAACAATAAAAGAGAAGGGGCCACGAAGGATGCTGTGTGCAACTCCATTTAAAAATGGAAAAGAAGGGCCCCAAACAAACCAATTTATGTCCTTGCCTGGGTGAAGCATGGAGAATGCTGATGGGCTTCCTTGGGTCTGCCGTGCATGCTAAACACTCTGCTCGAAATGAGAGTCTCCTGCGCTGGGCATTAAACATGAACAAAGAGACAAACCGTGGGGGCTAGGATTCACGCTTCAGAAAGCCAAAGCTGCAAAGCCAACCAGAACCAGGTTAGGAAACAGCCCAGTTTCCTAACCAGCTCCCTTCTAATTTCACCAACAACTTTCTTAGCAAAATTACTAAACATAGAGGGCTGTAAAAAGTCAGTCTCTACTACCAGAGATAATGAAAACAATTTCAAACTACACTGTAGTATCAGAATATCACCTTTCCTAGGCACAAATAATGAGTTTATCTGCACACATGTATTTCTAGCACACCAAAACCAACCTGCCTGCCCTCAGATAGCAGGTACAGCATGTGCACCCGTTGTAACAATCACATATACAGCTAGGCAGGTTGCAAAATAGGGATTTGATAAGATAAAATAGAAACCAATTGAATCTATAATCATCCTTATCTTAAACAGCTTTTATAATAGAGGGTTTTCCATTAAAATATTTTTTTCTAAGCCTGGGGAATTATGATGCCCTCTGGACACAAGGAAGGATAAAAAATGACAACTAATGTCAAAATTAAACATCAGTCAACTAAGCACGTTTTACACTAACAGACCCAGAGCCTTATTTTAAACTGCCTTTCAATTAAATCAAAAATAATTAGTTACAAGCCGTTCAGTTCAGTATCATACTGTTGTGGGCTCCAAATGCAAGCAGGGGGCACCTGGACCTGAAGGAGCAGAACTACCACCAGATTCATGTTTTGTGGATAGGGAAAACCTCTGTCATAGTTCTGGGAAAGTGGCTGGAAGGTTCAGATGGCACCAGGGTCTATGGGAGCCCCCTCCTCAGCACCCCATGCTTAGTAGGACCCTGCAGGAGCCCCCTCATCAAAACCTCAGGCTGCATTTCCTTTCTGCAGCATCCCAGACCCAGAAGCACAGGTGAGGCTGACTGGGAGCCCCTCTGCTCACCACTCCCACCTGCCCATTCTCTAGGAGGCATGATGGGGACGGGGCAGAGATGCCATGGGGCAGTTGTCACCTGGGCCAGTCAGGCAGCAGACACTTTGTACCTGACACTGCCCACCCCCCAAAAGAGCCACCCAGTATCCTGCATCCTGCAGCCCCAGCCCAGACTGGGAAGGTGCCTGGCACTCACCAGGGGTGGAGCCTGTGTGTGCCCAGAGTACCAGAGCTGCAGCCTCACCATGTCCCCTTCCTTGAGCAGCCCACAACCACCCCTACCCCTGTGCCAGCACCCCTGTGGGACCACTGATACCTTCTTTGCTGGGGTTCGGGGGCTTGGGCTTCTCCCAGGGCGCCATGGGCTTGTCCTCCTCCTGCCCCTCCATCAGGGCCTTCTCTCCAGGCAGGTACCAGGTGGAGTTGTGCTCTGCCATCAGGGAGTCCAGGTCGATGGTGCTCATGGTGCCCTTGACACCCTCCGAGCAGCAGCTGCCCAGGTCGCTGTCCCCATTCTGCCCCGCACACTCCCCCTTCTTGCTCTTCAACCCCAAGGGCTGGTCTTCCGAGATGCTGAACTGCTGCCGCTGGAGCTGGATCTGCGCCTGCAGGATTTCCAGGGGATGGATCTCATCCTGGGCCGAGGTGCTTGTGGGGGTCCGCACCTGCTCCATGCTTGGCGTGCCAGGGTGAGCGCCCGCCGTGGTGCTGAGCCCGTAGCTGTCGGGGGTCGAGGTAGATGTACTGAGAAGGCCAAGGGCCAGGGGCTTCTGTCCGTTGAGAAGTGCGTGCTCCCCACGGGGCAGCTTGGGCGAACCACCCAGCAGCGGGCTACGGGTGGGCTTGGAGGTGGCGTTGTCGGAGCTGGAGGACACCTCGTCCTCGTTGCCATAGCTGGTGCTGACCTCGTCGGGAAAGTCCACGTGCGGGGAGCTGCCGTCTGACTTGGTCACGCTCTGGATGCCGCTGTCCAGGGAGGACATCAGGTCGGGCTGCTCCGCCAGCAACAGTTCACTGCCCTTGCCCCAGGACGGTGAGGTCAGGGGCTTGTCATGAGGGGTGCCTCCGCCGCGCTCAGCGCCCGCAGCCCCCGGCGGGGCCCCCGCCGCCACCGGCACTGCCGGCTGCCCTGGACTGACACCGGCTCCCCCACCCTCGGCAGCTGAGAACTTCTCAAAAAACGTGCCGGGGCTGACGTGCCCACTGTCCCGTTTCCGACGACCCCGACCCCGCCCGCCACCCGCCTTCCCCTCTCCGCCGCCGGCCACCGGCTCCAGCGCGTAGCCGGGCGAGAGGCTGCTCTCCGCAGGCAGCAGCGGGGCAGCGCCCGCTGCCTTGCCCGTGCCACCCCCACCCACTGGCGGCCCAGCTGGGAAGTAGTCCGGGGCAGCAGGTGGCGGGTCAGGCTCGGCCTGGCTGAGCTTGCGCTTGGCCTCGGCCGGGCTCTTCTTGTTGAAGGTGACGTTGAGGTTGGGAGCGCCCAGGCTCGCGATCATGTTTTGGCAGGCAGTGGAGAGGGCGGCCAGGCAGCTCTGCCCAAAGACATTGTCCTTGCTGGCCGCCTTGCTGAAGGAGCCCAGCGAGAGGGCACCCAGCTTGCTGGCAGCGGGCCGTGGTGGGGGTGGCGGGGGAAACTCGGGCGGGGGCGGTGGGTAGGCACCTGGCGAGGCGCTGAGGGCAGGGGCAGCGCCGTGGGCCGCCGGCTGCCGCGCCGCCGCCCCAAAGGGGAAGCCAGGCTGGGCGGCGAAGTCCGCGGGGCCACGGCGCTCAGCGGGGGCACTGGGCAGTGCCACACCGCTGCCTGGTGACTGCAGCTGCGAGAGGCCACCCATCGCGGGTGTGAAGGGAGGATGGACGCCGGGCGACGGCAGGGCCTGCGCTGGCCCCTCGCCTGCCATCCGCAAGGGCTCCTGCAGCCCCAGCCCACCGGCACCCGGCCGGAAGAGCACGGCAGGGCCACCCGGCTGCAGGCCCAGCTCGTGGGGGGCTGCCTCGGCTGGCAGCCCGGGCGCTGCCAAGCGCCTCGGCAGCAGCTCCCCAGGCGGCGGCGGCCCTGCGAACCAGGCGCTGTCGGGGGCCAGGTGCGGCGCCGGCGCTTCGAAGCTGCGGCCGCCACCAGCCTCCCGCTCGAAGGCTGGTGGGGGCAGGCTGCCGGGTGCGCCCACCTCGCCGTGATGCCCCAGCTGCTGCAGGCTGGGCGGCCGCAGGCGCTGCTGGCTTCGCGAGGCCATCTGCTTCATCACCAGGGCCGCGTTCTGGCGCTGCGCCAGTGCCGGGTGCTCAGGGCCGCCATGTGGCAATGGGCCCCCGAAGGCCTCAGGTGCCGGCGGGGTGAACTCGCCCGGCAGGCCAGGGTAGGCCGTCGGGGAAAGGTGACTCTCCATGGCCGGGCCGTGCATGCCGCCGCCCCAGGAGGCGCAGCGCTCGACGCCAGGAGTGTTGGGGAAGTCAAACCGCGGCCTCTTGGCGACGCTCACGTAGGGGGCATCGAAGTGCTGCAGTCTTTGATTTGGTGGCTGTTGCGGAGGAGGGTGCTGCATATTAAACACGGGGTCGGTGTAGGGATGCATATTCCTGTTCTCCAGTCTGTGAATAGGGTATTCAAACTGTGCATGCTGGTTCTGCATTATGGGCCCATTGTCCTGCAGGTTGGAGTTGGGAGCGTTGGCTTCTGTTTGCTGTTGCCTAGGGATGGCTGGCGGGCAGGAGTTCTGTCTGGCCAGCAAGCCCGGCGGCTGCTGCGGTGGTTGCGGTGGTGGTGGCGGCTGCTGCTGCTGCTGCTGCATCAGCGGGTGCCTGGCGTTGGCCCCCGGCTCCAGACTGGCCGACATCTTCCGCGCCCCCCCGAAGCGCTCGAAGAAGACGCCGTGCTGCTGCGGCGGGTGCGCCTTGGCCACGGCCATGCCCGGCGCCCGGGGCAGGGCGGGCGCCCCCGCGAAGCTGCCGCCCGCCGGCACCTGCCGCCCGCCGCCGTAGTGCGGCAGCTGCCCCTCAGGCTCCGACGGGGAGAAGACGGGCAGCTCGAAGTGGCTGGCAGGGCCGTCGCCAGGGTAATTGTATTCCAGCGAGTCCACGCCGCCCTGCGCCGGCAGCCGCCGCGGCTCCAGGCCGTGGGGCTCGGAGGAGCCGGCCGCCGGCAGCCCGTGGAAGGAGGCAGCGCGGTTGGGGGACTGGTCGAGGGGCAGGCAGGGCGCCGGCACGGCGTGGCTGGCGGCGCCGGCGCCGTGGTGCTGGAAATCGGGCAAGGTCCCGGGGCGCTGCTGCCCGAAGCCCTCGCCGCCCTGGCCCTCGGCCATGTGCTCGTAGCCGTCGGCGAACGCCGTCTGCCCGCCCAGCGCACCGCTGTAGCCCAGAAGGCGCCCGCCGTGCACGCAGGAGGCGCCGGGGTCGGGCCCGAAGCCGCCGCCGAAGTGCGGGGGGTGCTGGTGCGGGTGGGGGGCGCCGCCGGGGCCGCCGTGCGGCTGCTGTCCGCCGAAGAAGCCGTGCACGGGCGGCTGCATGCCGCCGCCGTGCAGCTCGGCGGGGCCGCGGCCCGGGAAGCCGTAGCCGTCCCCGGCCAGGCTCATGTTCATGCCCAAGAGGGGCGGCTCGCCCAGCGCTCCCAGGGCCGGGTCCGCCGGTGCTGGGCCGCCGCCGGGGAAGGCCGGCGCCTTGAAGTGCGCGCTCATGCTCAGTCCGGGCTGGCCGAAGCCCCGCTCCGCCTGCCCGCCGCTCCGGCCGCTGTTCTGCGGCTCGAACTGCTCCAGCCCGAACATCCTGCGCGGCTCCTCAGCAGGGCATGGCTGCTCCGCGCCGCTCCGCCGTCCCGCTGCCCGCCGCTCCCCGCTGCTCCGCTCCGCGCCACTCGGCCGCCCCCGCTCACATCCTGCCGCGCCGCCGGCACCGGCCGCTCGCCCGCGCTCACCCCGCCGCTCGCCGCTCACTGCTGCCCGAGAGCCGACGGGGCGGCGCGCCGCCGCTCACAGGCTCCGGCGCCCGGGAGCTGCGCGCCGCATCGCCGGCCGGCCGTGCGCTCCCGCGGCTCGCAGCGCTCCGGCGGCGGCGGGGCCGGGGCGCGGGGCCGGGCGGGCGCTGCGAGGGCTGCGCCGCGCTCCCCGCGCGCTGCCGCGCTCTCACCCAGCGCTGGCGGAGCAGCAACAAGTTTTGCATTTCAGCGATGAATTTCAGCCATGGGGGCTGCGCCAATGAGCGCCGCGGTCCGGGGCGGGGCTGCCGTTAAGGTGGCTCCGCCGCCGGCCCCGTGCCCCGCCCGCACCGCGCCCCGCACCGCCCCCCGTGCCCGGCGGCGCCGCTGCTCCCGCGGCGCTCGGAGCGCGGGCGGACGGGGAGGTGCGCGGTACCTCGGGGTCCCGGAGCGGGGTCCTGAAACGGGGCGGGGGCCACCGGAGCTGGCAGCAAGTGGCGGGTGTGGGGAGCCAACTGCTGCGCTGCCCGCCGGGGCGAAACCCGCCCGGCAGCCCCGAGCCAGGGGGAACAGGAGCGGCCCCGCCGGCCCGCCCGATCCGGGCACCGCACGGAGCCTCGCGGGGAGCGGGCGCTGCGGCAGCGGGGGGAGTCACTACCCCGTTCCCCCGGAGGGACAAACACCCACCGGGCCAGGGGGCCCACAGATCGCCGGCGGGACACGGTGCTTCAGGTGCTCGCGGATGCACATGTCGATAGTTTAAAGAAATAGTAATGAATATTGCTCCCACCGAAAAAAAATGAGATCTATAAATAAGCGGCTGAGGACTGTTTGTATATGGCAGGAGAGTTTTAACGGGATTTTTTTCTGCAGGATCAGGATGCTGCGCTGTGATTAAATATTGATTTTGTGTAATTAGTTTTCATGTGAACTATCCTCCTTGCTGATGGCCTGGAGATTTCAGAACTGGCGAAGAAATGGAATTGGACGTGGAAATTATTACTTAGCGAAGTGACAAGGGGGGAAAGAGGGGGGCGCGGGGCTCGAGCTGCGGGGCGGGCACCGGGGGTGGAAAACGCACGGCACAAAGGAACGAAGGGGATGTCTCGCTCCTCGCTACGGGAATGGCGGCAACGGAGGCAGGGACTGAGGGAGAGACGAGGCCGCCGGCCCCTGTATAGGGTCAGCGGTCCGGACCGACGGCTGCACCGGCCGGTGCCCCGCAGCCCGGCTCCGCACCCGGCGCGGCTCCGGGTCAGAGGCGGCTCCGCACCCGGGGCTCCGACCGCCGCCGTCGCGCCCCCTCTGCGCCTGCGTGCGCGCCGTCGGAGCGGCTCTTCCGAACGGGCACAGCGCCCCCTGGCGCCTTCCGCGGCTCCGCCGGGCGCGGCGGCCCCGCTCTGTGCCCCGGTTCGTGCCCGCGGCCCCTTCCGCCCCGGCCGGAGAGCCCCCGCTCCGGCCCGGGGTCCGTGCCCCCGTTCCGGCCCGGCCCGGGGTCCGTGTCCCCGTTCCTCCCCGGCGGCGGTCGGAGAGGCCCCGCTCCGGCCCGGGGTCCGTGTCCCCGTTCCGCCCCGCTCCGGCCCGGGGTCCGTGCCCCCGTTCCGCCCCGGCCGCGGGCAGTCGGGCCGGACGGGGCGGGCCGGGACCCGTGTGCGTTCCTCCGCGGAAGAGCAGGGTCGGGCGGGGTCGCCGAGAGCGGCTGCCCGGATTCGTCTTGGGGCACCGGCGCCGCCGCCACTCCCTTCCTCGGCCCGTCCTGCAGCTTTTCTGGGGGCCCTGGGCGGGCAGCGCACCGCCCCGGGATGCTGCCGCTCCCTGCCGAGCTCTGCTCGCCATGGGCACAGACCGGCCCGTAGCCCAGCGGTGTCCCCGGGGCTGCAGCCCGCACCTCGAGTCAAGGGCCCAGCCCCGATCCCCTCCCGGAGCCGCCGCAGTCTCGCTGGACGGGAAATCTCATCACCCATGGCTTGCCCAGCTCGCCCAGCATCACTGCGGACTTTGGTGGGAGCCACATGTGTCCATAGCTGGACAATGGCAAACACGGAAATAAGCTCAGCCTAAGTATTCTGTCAGTAATGGCAAGGTCGGATACCAGCTGCGAGGTTCTGCTGGCCCGTGGTGTGCGTGTGGGAAGGTGGCTCAGCCTGTTCCTAACCTGAGATGTGTCCTGGGGCTGCCAACCTGCCCCACAGCTCCTGGTGTCCAGCACGGGGCTGGGAGCGTGGCCCTGGGCTGTCAGGTCACCTGTGTCACAAAGGGTCGCAGTCCCCAGCAAAGGAGAAAGAAGCCTCTCTGAATCAGACCAAGCAGTGAAAAGTGTATTTTACAAACCATATTTTTACTTTCATTCTTAGGGTTTTGGTCATCTTGGGAGAAGCAAGGAAAGGCATTATTTAAATAGTTGTAGCTGCTGGGGATTATTTTCTAAATTAACAATAGTAATTGTGCCTGCCAAATCCAAAGTTGAGGGGATTCATTTATTTCAACTCTCCAGACAATAGCACAATTTTGGGTTTCATATTGCAAGCTCTGAAAACCAAATAGTGGGACTGATGTTTAAAAAAATAATTCAAACAACATCAATTCATCAGACTTAAATCCAGCTCTTTCCACTGTGGCAGTTTAACTTGCACTTAGAAAAGTTGCTGCTCAGCAAAAAAAAGAAAAAAAAATTCCTTTTTAACAAAATGAATGCATCATACATAAAACATCACGGACCATACAATTAGTAAGCAAATGTAAGAGTTCAGCTCAGTTCATAATTATTCAGCAAACCTATTCAGAATGATTTTTTCTCCCTCCAGCAATCTACTGTGTGGGCTCATTACCACTGAAAATCTAACGAAGAAACCACCACAGAAACTGCACAAAATAAGCCCATATGCTCAAGACACTTTAGCTCAGCCAGCCCTTAGCAAGAGCCTCTTAAACCCTGACATGGAGGGAACCCAAGCTCACTTCTCTGTGGTGTTTGCACTCCCAGATTTCCAAAGGTGTCCTGTCTTTAGTGCAGCTTCAGGTACTTCATTTGCAGCCACTCCCTTGTCCTCCGTGGTGCCACCAACCCCTGCTCCGTGTCACACAGCCCGCTGATGGGCTCTGTCCCTGGAGCAGAGGCTCCCAACAGCCACTTCACAAAAGAGCTGATGGGTTTCTCTTGGCAGGGATTTCCCTTCCTAGCAAGGATATTCCAGTGAAAGGAATTGTAATATTTTCAAGGACAGGTCTCCAAATCCAGCAGCTGACATTTTCAGGAAAGTTTTCAGCATTTCTGCCTGGAACAGTTTAGGGAAACTATTGTACCTCCTGTCTCTCAAACTACAGCGAACGTGGTGGTGGGATGGGCGCAGAGGCAAATGTGTAAAATCATTATTAGATGAGCTTGTGAGTGCAGGGAGTGCAGGGAGCTGGGGATGTCTGCCTGCCTGCATCTGCTCGAGCTCCTGAGAACAGAAGGGTTTTTGGGTATGGAAGGGCTCTGTTCTGGGCAGGTCCCAAACCAAGCTGTGCCCAGAGCAGGCAGAGCTGCCCTGCACATGGTGCCTTACAGGGATTTGCTGCCAGCATGGTCACATTGCTAAGAGGCACCAAGTAAAAAGCGACTTGTAGGCAATTCCAGTGATCCGACCTCTGCCACTCCTTGTCCTTCCCTGCTTGAGTGTCTGGAGGTGAAATGGTTTGTAATTGAGATTAAAGACAATTTCATCTGTGAAACCTGATTTGCATTCGGTTTCTGGGAAATTTACCTTGCTGGTGTAAAAATTTCATGCTTAGTTTTACTAACAATGTGGTTTTTGAAAAGACTGAACCAAATCCCTTCAGACACTTTACTGCTTCCCATTTTTAAAAATGCATAGCTGAATAAACAGAGTTAAGGGACTAAAACCACCTCAGCCATTTCCTATAGGGATAGACAGCAATTTCAGAACTTAGCCCTTCATAAGGATTTTCCTGTTTGGTTCTTCTGCCAGGTTGGTTCAATTGGTTTTAGTTCCTTTACATGGCCACAACCTTAAGCTGTGTATCTTTCCTGTTTAGGTTTACAGGTTTCCCAGTGTGGATCATGACATTTTCACAATATCAGTAGAGTTTTCTTTGCTGCAAAAAGCTTTTTTTTTTTTGCCAATTTAATATATTGGGTGCCCTTTATGCCACTTTGGTGAAAACTTTTGCAGCACATGGGGCACTTTTGTGTATATACAATGAACACCAAAAATATGTTTATACGAACATATAATTTGGATGACTGAAAAACAGAATAGTGCTAAAATCATACAACCCTGGGAGTGTACATTAGCAAAAACATAGGAAATCTTAAAGCAATTTTTCCAGTCCATAGCACAGTTCACTGCTTGGGCTTTTACTTTTCCCCTTCAAATTCCCATCCCTAAAACACACATGTAGGATCGGGTATTGAGAAAGGGATATTTAAAAAAAGAAATTCTATACATATATATATATAGCACAGCAGAAATAGACAGAAGTAGTGAATTAGTTTGACTACAGGAAAAGTAGAAGTTTTATGTTTCCTAAAATAGCTCACTGAAACATAAATAACAAAATGGCACCTCTCTGTACGGCTAATCAGTGTTTAACTCTACTTGGTGTTTTATGGTGGAGTTTGTGTGACCAACTTTGTTCTGCTGTTTTCCTAAACTTGAACCAGGTGGGAATTTCTATAAAGTGTGGTGGAGCAAGAACAATCTTTGAGCATCTGGAAAGTCTGGCTCACTGTGGGTGATGCCAGAAAACCACCGAAGTTAATTCATTTTTCATCATCTTATAAATTAAATTACTGTGAAAAGAGAGAGCCAGAGGGTGTTTTATAAAGTCCTGATGACTTAATTTCCCCTAAGAATTAACTTCACAAGAGCACTTGGTGGTTTCTCTCCTCACCCTGCCATCCCTGGGGATGCCACACGCCAGGGTCCCATCCTGCCCTTGCCTCCCTCCCTGCTGGGTGCAGCTGGGCCATTGGGGGCAGGTTTGGGAGTCAGTGGTTCTCAGGAGGGCACCCACTGGGGACCAGGTTGGTTCTCAGGAGGGCACCCACTGGGGACCAGGCTGGTTCTCAGGAGGGCACCCACTGGGGACCAGGCTGGCTTCTCCTGGAGAACCTCCCGCAGGGCTGTGTCTGAGCATCCCTCACGTTCCGCGGTGCCCCGCTGACCGCCGCTGTCCATCCCATCCCGGCCCTCAGGGCTGGGGATGCTGGCTCAGGGCTCCCTGCCCTCGGCTCGTGACCTCCTGGCTCTGCTGGAGAACACACTGCTCGTCCTGGGGTGACAGGGGTGCTCGAGACCACAGGGGCCAGAACTCAAATAAAGCTGCTCCTGTGTTTATTAATTATCATGGTACTTCGTAAGGTTGAACAGCACAATGCGCGTTTCTCAGCCACTGGTGAACCTTGGCTCACAGTCCTGACTTTTCCAATTTAAATCAAGTGCCCCTGCTCACACACCGAAGGGAAGAGGCATCCCAAGGCAGTCCAGCAGCATGAATTCACCTGCCCTGCCTGGAGAATGCTTTGCTTTCCGGCAGGAGTTACTCCGGCACTCCTGGCTGCTCCTCGCAGCTGGCCCGGCTGCCCTGACAGCCTCCCCCAAAGCTCCCATCTCCCCGCCAGAGGCACAAAGGGTTAACGATCTCCTGCTGCCCACAACCATCGCTCCTCCACCATCACGGCCCCTCAGCATCTGTACAAAGGGCCTGATTTAATCCGGGTTGCAGACGACTCACATTGTACTCGCAGCCTCGGAGTGATGTTGGGTGATCAGGTTTCCAACTAATATCCAAGGCACAGCCCGAGCACTGAGCGGGAACAAAGGCACCTTTGTTACTGAAGAAAAAAAAATCCCCTGAAGATATTAGCAGTGCAGTAGAGTTCAAACTGTTAAATGATTCAAATATTATTTAATGAATACATTTGAAATGAGGTCTCACAACCCAGAACACTTTTTAGATCATCATTTACAAAGAGCCACCTCTTCGCTTACTTCTTTATGAAGTTGCTGCTTTCAGATTTCAATTATGGTTATTTTGCTTCCAGTCTTTTTTGGAGACTTCCCATGTTGATGCAACTCAGTTCTTTTTATGGTATAGTTTAGCCAGTGACTACTGCGTTTTTCAGAAGTCCTGATAATCACATTTCTTTAATTTACCTTGGACTGTGTGAGAAACAAAGGAGACAGAGACTATTGCAGAAGGAGCAACAGCATTAGGTGTCGTTCTAGAGGGTGCTAAAGCCAAGCTTATAAAAGAGAAATTTGTAAATAAACCTATCAAGACTTTAGTTGGGATTGGAGAACTTCTATTGTTCAGGTTCAACAAATACTTCATATTTCTTGTGTGTCTTGGATATGCAATTCTAAACTAGAAAGCCATGTAATTTTAGAGAGAAAAATTAAAGAATAAAGGTAGATGGGTTTCAGAAAAGAAACAAGTCTCCAACCTGAGGAATAAAGTTTTAAAATTAAATTAGGGCTTATGTGCTTATAGCAATTAGAAATCCAAGGCTGCTCTGAAGCATGGACGGCAGATATTGTCCCTAAAGGACAGCAGCAGCACATCTGGGGCTGTGCTGCTGCCCCCTGAGAGGTTTTTTAAAAATCCAGCATAACTAGCAAGAGTGGGGAAATAGCACCAGAACAAGTATCAGAACAAGTACCAGCATACCAGCAAAAAAAGGCACAGGGCAGTGGCAGAAATACCTCCAGACTCTGTCTTTCACTCTGGAAAATCTCTGCTTCCTGACAATTACATGCTGTTGATGAAAATTAATTTTTCATATTGATTCAAGCAAGTAGAAACTTTCATTAAAAGTTACAAAACTTCAAAGAAAATCATTTCCCAATGACTTTATTATAACAAAATTAAATGGAGAAGACTCTTGAATTGTATGAACTGAATAAAAACCACAGCAACAGCCCCGAGCTTCAGATTTTGCCATAAAATCATAGAACTGCTTTTCAAGGACATGATGTAGCTGCTAAACATGGCTGCATCAACTGCAGCTTGGAAATGCAGAATAAGTTGTCTTACAGGACATTTTCAGATTGCTCAGAGAGTATTTAGAATTGACTGAGGGTGGAAAATCCCAAAAGACCCAAAATCTCAGCGGATTTTTTTTTCCTGACATTCCTCAGTCTACATGTAAAGGTAAAAGACAGAAATAATTCTCCTTTCTCTTCAGTGATTAAAAATCCTCCAGAAAAAGAGCAAATTCCTTACATGTCCCCTTTAGATCACACTTGTGTACAGTCAAGTGATGGATTTCAAAGGTTACTGCTGGAATATGGTTCCCAGCAGTCTATTGCAGTGAATAACCATCACGTTTACATATCCATTACATCAAAACTATGTTACACTTCCACTGCTTCCTGTTGGTTCACCATCTGGAAGCTAAACAAGCTGGTAATGAAGAGAGAATTCAATTCTGCATTTACCAAAGGAGCCCTACAAGCCTTCCTTTGCAGCAGGTGATTGCACAACCTGAGCAGGCAGAACCCTGCCCAGAGCCAGCACTGCAGCTCAGCCAGCCCCAGGAATGGGACCCCAGGGAGGGACACCAGGAACCCCTCAGCACCTCTGGCGCCCTGGGGGAGTCACCTCCCAGCTGCAGCCCCTCCTCATGCCCAGTCACAGCTCTGCCAGCCCAGCATCCTCCCTGATTTCAGTCCTTCTGAAATCCCAAACCAAACCCAGCCCCAGGTGAGAGCAGCCTTTACCAGCTCAGGAGCAAAATGTGAGTGCCTGAGATAAGAGACACAGCTTTTTATGATCAAATTTATTTAATTAAATTTCATCGCCTGCTTTACTTGTCAGTTGCACCAGAGACTGCCAAAGGAAAGGAAACATTGTACATTCACTACAAGATTCTCTCAAATTTTCACAACTAGTCCAAATCCATGGAAGTCACAGGGCCCTTTTCCCTCTGTGTTGCAACACATTAAAAATGGCAGGACACAAATTCCAGCACCGAGACCTGAGCCCTTGGGTTCCAGGGGTACTTAATGTCCTCTGTGTGTGTGTGTGTGTGTGTGCCACATCTCTGCATTCACCAACCCAACCTCCTGGTGGGACAGGACAACCAAGCACTGAACTAACCCAGAAAGGAAACCAAACACATTACTGTGGGGCTGGAGGGTGGCTGCTGCAGCACACAGCTGAGGCACTGGGCAGCTGTGGCAGTGCCAGTGTGCACAGCACCAGGACAAGGTGCCAGTGCAGGAATGTTCTGTCACTGATGGTCATAGAAATCAGATCCCTCTGGGAAGTCAGGCACGGCTTGCCCTGCCAAAAGTGCTGGGAAGAAACCAGGCATTAATAGATCTTTATCTAACTAGTGCTTTTAAAAATACTTTTTCTTTGATCTAACAAGCATTAGGTTAATGTCCTCCTGTTATGTGCTCTGAATGGCTCCTCAAACATGCTGAAGATCTTTTCCTTATGGAGTTTCCTACAGGAGGCATCTGTTATCCCAGGGGCACTCACACATCACCCTCTCACAGACAGCAGAGAAACTTGTCAGGGGCTACAACTGAAACTGTCATCATATCTGAAAGTCTACATCTCCCAAAGTGTATTTCCAACATGGGAACAGCTAAAATCACACTTATATTCCATTGCTGTGTGTGAAATCCAGAATGCTTGCATGGCTTCCAAAGGGAAGCCCTGGGAAACAGCCATTGCACTGGCAGGGGTACTCCTGGAGGGAAGGGCTGACCCTGTCCTCACTGCCCAGCCTAAGATACACTGGAAAATGCTCTACAGGTACTGTCAGTGTACTTGTCTAAAAAACAGGTTCTGCAAAATTTCAAGTTGCAAATTACTTTATAAATCACAAGCCATTTTTCCTTAGTCTTGCCAATTTTAATGAAGAAAACTGTTAGCATTTCAATGTACAAAAGTCCAATAAAACATGATTTTTTTTCTTTTAAATCAGTGAGTGGGTAGTTTGGGTTAAACTTATTCAACAGTAAAAGTCTTCCAATTTCCACTAATAGAAATTTTTTTTTCCGATTTGACTAGAGGATAATGACAATCCAGAAATAAATAGCTATAAATACATTCATTGTTCCTATTCCAAAAACTCATCACATAGGGAAGACATAAAACTGAAATTAACTTGTTTGAGTGTTCCTTTACAACGAGAGATGGGCGAGTTAGAGCAGAGTGACTTGGACAGGAGAGAAAACAAATAGGGCAGAAATTGGTCCAGTATTGACATTCATGAACATACCAGTTAGCAAAATTCATCCTTTAAATGACACTACTCAGTTGATTTTTTTTTATTTGCTTGGGGTATACATAATGAAAGCAGTTTCCTTGGAATCTTTGCTAGGACAGGTATAGCACCCGGAGACACTGTAACCACCCCTTCTGTCTGCATGTGTGTGTGTAGTTATATACAGAGTCATGCACCCACACACACAGCCAAGATCGGCACCGGCGTCCGTCCGGCGTCACTCGTCATTGGCAGCACTCGTTCCTCTCACTTGGCCTTGGTTACGCAGCTGTGGAGAGAGGAAGTGCAATTTCTGCATTAGCAGCTTCTTCAGACACAGCTCCAAACACGCAGGGAGATTATCTCCAGGGAAAAGCAGGACAGGGCCTCAGAACACCAAAGTAATGCCGGCTCCTGAGGGAATCTCAGCGGCAGCTGTCCTTGGCTAGGACCTGCCCCCAGGGGTGGGAGCAGCTCCCTTCACTGGGGAGCCCACACAGATCAGTGGGATGTGGCACCCTTGGACTGGGGTGTTACAACAGTCCCTGTGAGGAACAGCAGCACCAAAGTGCTGGGCACAAGCACCAAGAGTCTCTAACTCCTGGAGAAGCTGCTCCTGCTGTAACAGCTCTGACACAGTTTAGTGTTGTGGGTGGAACTGGATTTCTAAGAACTGAACTTGTTTGGAAGGTGACGCTCCACAGCTTCCCGAAGTGACACAGCCCAAGCCCACAGGTCACTCTGCTACCGCGTGTGCAGCAAAGCGACGCTGGCCTGTGGGACGGTGCCCAGAGGGGCGGGCGCCAGGGCTCGGCGCCAGCGCCACGACAGCAGCACATCCCACACCAGGGCTGCCTGCACTGCGTGAGCACCAGGCACCAGGGCAGGTGAGCAATGCTGCAGGAATTCTGCTCCCAGCCTTAGTGCCTGCACAGTGCCCACCTGGTGTGTCCTGGGCACCGCGGGGCAGTCCCACCTGCTGATCACCACACCACTACCGAGCAGGAGCAAGGTAAGGCCCACACAGGTTATAGACATTAAGATGATTTCTGCTAGCAATTCCCATCCAAAAGAACGTTAATCCCTCTTCTCCTTTTCCATCCAGCAGTTGACTTACACAGCTCGCTTTGCCTCAGAACCTACAGAGAACTCCTCTAGACGTCCGCAGCCAAAGTGCCTCGAACGGAACCCTTCTTACGCATCTGAAGTGAAATAAAACGTGAGCTCCACACACAGAACCTGCACGCCGTGGTTAGTATATGAGAGAAGGAATGACCTGCAGGCCCAGGATCTGCCTCTCCCTGGCCAGGGCCAGGACCAGCTACAGCTCAGGGGCTTTGGCCATGGTATGGTAATTCTTTTTGGCAAGGAGACCTGGGAACTGGAGAGCAGCTATAAACAATGCTGCTTGAATTTTAACAAGCCCACGATGCTCCAGCATGGAATCACTGGTCAGGATAGCCAGTGTGGCATCTCTACCCTCACACAGGCATGAGAGAGGTTGGTCACAGGGCTTTGGCTGGACCTGATGCTTTCCTACTCTGCACTGATGAGCTGATGCATGTTTCATGGAGCAGAGGTGCTTCTCATCTCCAGCATCCAGAGACAGAATCCACCAAGTGAAACATAAACAGTGATAAAAAGATGGACTGGGATAGAAGAACTCTGTAAGAACACTGATGAGAATTCAGAGAGTAACAGAAAGTAACAAAAGCAGAGATCCTGACTATAAAAATCGACTGAAGATGAAGCACAGGAGCAACAAAAGAACTGGAATGTGCACAGAACCCAGAGAAATAACAGCTCGGAGCAGAAGGAAGAAAAGGTGTTCATGAGAAGGGGAAGAGTACCAAGACACTGTGTGGGAAAGAACATGCACTGCCAGCCCTGCTTTGTGCCAGGTTTGGCTCTCAGCATCACAGAACTGCCCAGGGCTGCCCTGCCCATTCCTGACCACTGCAGGGACAGGGACATATCTGTGTCACCTGGAGCACCTCATCCCTGAGCACTCACTTCCCAGAGGTCCTGGCCATAGAACACACTTTGAGGTGTACTGGGGATGTAATGGCAGGTACTGGTGAGCACAATGGATGGAGTAGTTGAATATGAAACAAGAATGACAAATTATTTTGGATAAAACTAGCATTCATATTATTTGGCAATGACATTTTTGCCCTTAGGTTGTCCAATAACACGCTGCACCATAAGTTTGTAGATACCCCTCTTGCAATATTTGGAAAAACCCCAAGGACAGTAGGTCCTCACTCCTCTCACATTTCACAATATCCACAGAAATCTGGGTTAGTGTAACATCATACATTTATCTTGTGAAAAAAACCAAACCAAAACAATCCAATTTTTTCAACAATACACAAATTCCAAATTCCTGACACTAACATCTTACACAGCAATCTATTTGCAAAAAAACAATTTGCCTTCGCAAAATGAGAAAATATTAAGTAAATAGGTTTGATGTTTAAGCATGAGGATAAACGTTACACCCAGAGACATGTGAGCTGGGTTTGGCTTAAGGTAAGAACTAAAAGAGCAGCAAATATTTTGGAAAAAATGTATTTAAAAGGAGCTACTTACCAGTGAGAAATGTGAAACAAAACATCCACAGTCCACAGAGACACAAAGGAACAATTTCACCATGCACACAGGTTCTGCTGCCTCTCTCCAGCACACCTCTGGTGCACTCCTCACTGCCACTACCTTTGCTCAGGGAAACTGGATAAAGTCTGTTCCAGTCCAAATTAATAACTATGGATGTACAAAAGGGAGCCCTTCTGACAGAAATCAGTTTAGAGAGGACAGCTGTTATGCTTCCTCCTCCACAGACACCTGGGAACAGGTGGCTCTAGGAACAGGATCAGGCATAAATTAGAATTCAAGAAGAAACCCCCATGATTTGAGAAAACAACTGCTAAAAATACTCAAATGCCCATGAGAGAGCATAAGATCTGCAAGAGTGAGTGAACAGCAACCTTGTCCAAAGCACATTCTGGGGCTGCTGACACAAACCCTCCAGCTTATGGGAAAAGAGCATTTGGTGCTACAGGACTATGAAGAAACACTTTTCCAAACACAGGAAACATCCCTACACAACACAGGCTGTGCCACACTGTTTGCAAAGTCCCTGTAGAGCAAGAGTGGGATGGAGGAGCTGCAGCTGTTTTAGTACCAAGAGGAAAGATGCACCAGGCACAGACCACAGAATGTGTCCCAGGGCCCCTGTCCAGAGCTGGTCTGGAGCCTCAGGCAACCAGGTTGGAGGGGTCTGGCATGGGGCAAACCATGCAAACAGCAAGCTGGAGCTGAAGACACATCTTGGAAGAACCAAGACACTGGAACTGTCTGCATAACCTGATTGGGTTTGAGGCATGAAGCAATTGTCAAAATGGGAAGGAAATGCAACTGCAAATCCAAGAACTGCAAAAATGCCAGTGGGATTTAACATGGGAAAGGTTTATGCTAAAGGTCATGTTCTGGAAAGACTCTAGAGAAGAAGGCTTCCTTCCCAGCCTGTGGTGGTCCTCTACCTCTGAATGGAGAGAGCAGTGACAGTGCCCTAAGTCTGAGCTTTCTCCCAAACATCAGCCATGTCAGGCCACACGGATTTGGTCCTCACAGCCACTAAGGCAGGAAAACTGACATGATCTCAGCTGATTTTACTGACTTTCTTTTTGGAAGTAAAACTCTGGTTTGGTGTGCTAATTAGAAGTGGAACAGCTGACAGGTGACACAAACATGCTTGAAGAGAAAAAGCAATCAGATCTAGTGATGACCAGAAATGAAACAAAGCAAAACACGTGATGGAACGGGATTTGAGTTCCAACCAACAAGTGCCAGAAGGGCCCTGAGTGGGACTTCTGCAGTGGGTGTGGTGCCATAAGAACAGAGGTAGTCAGGGCAGACATCCTGCATTTAATGACATCAGAGTACTTACCTTAAGGCAGCACAGAATGCAGGGGCTGGAAGCCCATGGGGCTGCACTCAAGGGGCCACAGTGCTCATCAGCAATTGCCCAAACACACACACACAGGCACAGACACCACACAACTTGCCTGAGTTTCTGCACAGATAAATCTGCAGGTAGAAGCACATCTGAGCCTTAAAAAAAAGCTTTCTTACCGCTTCCAGCTCCTTCTGGGTTTCATCCTCCATCCTCCTGATGTCCTCCATAGTCAGTTCAATCCACTTGTCAATCCAACAGAACAGCTGGCGGTGGAAGTTGGTAAATATCCTTTTTTCTTGCTTTAAGAAGATAAACAAGCATTAGATCACAGGCAGGACTTGCTAAAGGCTGGTGAAGTGGTAGTAGCTGCTCAGTTTGCAGAGTTAAAATCATCAAGTGAGTGCTGCCTCACACTGCTACAGATTCAGCCACCTCACACCCCTGGATCCAATTTAAATTCACCTCATTTCTCAAATGCTTTTAACATGGAAAGAATGAACAAATTTCACTATCAAAAGAAGAGCTTCAAGAAAGTTCAGCCATTCACATTACTTGAGAATTACGAAGAATGTTGTTAAAATCTGTTCCAGTTCCAAGGTGGCAGCAGCCAAACCAGAACATCCACTTCCTAAAGATTTTGCTTTTTTTTCCCCCCAGAGAATTGTTCTGGTACTACCAGTGAAGCCCCACTTGTAACAAAGCAAGACACAAATGGTTTGACTGGCTGGGCAAAAGGACAAAAATTCCCTGGCTTTGAGCAATAGGAAACTGCACCACTGTTCCTGCTCAAACCCCCACATCAACACAGTCCCAAAGGCAGAAGCACTCACCTTTTGTATAAAATTTTCCACTTTGTTCTGCAGTCCCCACCACTTAAATTTGATGGTCACCAATTTGTAAGCACACATTTTGGGACACTCCTCATCAGTTGCTAACTCCTTCTGTTTGGGGATAATAGAAAAGAAGTTTTAATACTTTAAAAGTTTAATTATTAGAAATTATAATTCTAATTAATGCATTAGAATGATAAATAATATAGTTATAGTAAGTTAATAATTGTTATGATAATAAAATATTATTCAAAGCATTATTACAGAAAAACAGTATTCTAATCAGTAACTTGGGGCTGTTCCTGACAGACTCCCTGTGATTCGCTCCAGGGCACAGCAGTGGGCTGCACAATTCCTGTGGGGATCTCTGGTGTGGCACACACAGCCCATTCCGTCCTGGGATAGATTCTGATGGCTGGCAGGGGGTACTGGCAAGTTCTGTGATGCTTTTGGGGTGTCACACGGGGGATGTGCTGGGCCACAGAAAATTTGTTCCTCAAATGGAGCTGAGTCAAGTTCTGAAGGAACCATGAACCTTGTTCTTCTGCTGATAAAGACTTCCTAAGGCTGTAACAACAGTTCCTAGTACCTTCCAGTTTGGCCCCAGAGGTCCTCTCTTTGTCTTAACTGACTGGAATAATGCAGGATCTTCCTCAGCTTTGTAGTCCTGTAACATAAAACACTCTGAGAGTCAGAAAACACCAACAGATTCAATATCCCACTGTGTTAAGCTTCTGCTGGAGCAGGATGGGTGCAGCACAGCTGCCAGGCTGGCTCCATGCCTCCACCACACCTGCTCCCAACACAACAGCTCTCCAGGGCTGCCCTGTGCTGTGCACACTGTGACATCTGCACTGCCCCATGGGTCTGTGACCCCTGACAGGAGGAGAAGGCAATAATTCAGTAACCAGCATGCTAAAGCTATTCAGGCTGCAACACATGGTCACTGCTGGGGAGGCAGAACAGGAGGGAAGGAGGGCAGAAGCAACTCCCTTACATAACTCTGAGACCCCAGCCTGAGCCAGAGGCAGAGCCCACACGGTGCTGCCTCACCATGGACAGCTCTGCTCACCCCCTGTGCATGGGGGAAAAGCCAATGGGTACAGAACTGAAAGGGACAAATGCTTCCAACAGATGGGTTTACTGAATTTTACTGATGAGGGGTATGAAAATGATTATTTGATAAAAATGTGTGGAACTAGGAAAGGATTAAAAACTCTGGCCTCAGTGAAAGCAAGTAAGGTTTATATTGTGTATAAAAACCATTTATCCAAGATTACCATTATACCCACAAAACCCAACTGTAATAATTTAAGTTGCTTCAAAACAGAACAAATGTTTGATAGGTGCTACAGAAAAGCCTAATAAAGTTTTGCAGAGTTTAAGGTCTCATTTTTAAGTAAAGTTTTGGTGAAGCCAAAATCTGCAGAACATGGAGTGAAGGAAACACCTCCAAGAGAAGCAGCTCCTGGCTGCTGAAGACCACATCAGTTTCCAGCTCCAGATTCTCCCATCAGCACAGAGGAACAAAGGCTACTTCTAGACTAAATTCTGAATCCACAGAGCAAGGTTAAATGTACTAACTGTTAATGCTTTCACAGATATTCTGACATTTACAAAAACCTATTGCAAGCCAAATGGAGCTGAAAAATCCAGGAAGTCCTCTCAGAGGAATATGATTTCATTTACAGAACATCAGCTGTTACACTTTCTTCTCCCCAGTTTTCTCTCATTGTTCCTAGTTCTTTTAAGATACCTACCTACATTGCATATTAAAATAGGCTGAATATTTAAAATAGGCTAATTTATCTAGGAAACATTACTAGGTGTTCAAACAAACTTCCATACTGAGGACTCAAACATATACTTTAGGAATTGAGCAGATATTTCCTAGAAGCAGCCAAGTGAGTGAAGACATTTTAATCTCATTGCAAATCAGTGTTCTATGAACTTCCACAAACCAGGACTCCCCTCTAGTTCTCCCTCTAAGGCAAAACAACATTCTACTTTGAAGAAGCCACACAACAGTCAGCCAGCCTCAGCAGGGGCTGCCATGGTGCTCCACAAGCCTTCCCCTGCCTCAGAGCCTGAGGAACCAGCATTAGCACTGTACAGCAACACTTAAAACATTTAAAGTTTTGAATTATTATAACTGCAGAAAGACCACAAGCCATATTTGTCAACTGAATTTCAGTGAAACCCACTTATTTATGATTTTATTGTAATAAAGCACATGTGCTTTCCACAGACATCACAAAGAGCAAATTCACAGCAGCACATGATATCCAGCCCTGAGCCCCTTCCTGTTGCACTGAGCACAGCCACTGGCTGTGGCTGGGACCAACTTCTCAACTCACACATTATTCCCAAATACTGTGGGAGAGGAGAGCTGCAACCCACTGGAATCCTCAAGTTCTGCATTGTCCTGGAGGCTCAATGTGATGCACTTTTTAAAAATTATTTTTTAACAATCCTTGTGTGGAAAAAGAGTCATCTTTACATTTAAATTACCTTTAAGATACCTATGCAAATACTACAGTAAAATGTTTTTATAGAAATACACTGAATGTTTTAAATTACTGATTATGACTGACTGCCTTTTAAAAATTTCACTCAACCACTGGATAGAATACACTGAAGTGAATCAAGATACAGCAATGGATAAACAATTTGGCCAATGTAACTAATTGCTGGCAGAGCTGTTGCTGGTTTCAGGCAGCAACATGCCAAACAGAAACACAAGAATTCCACATCTTAGTGCCAGTTTTATAAATAAAAGCAGGTACTGCATTAAGACAACCCTGAATTTATTTTCACTGTGTGAAAATCCTGCCAAAGCAGAGTTCACACTGTAGTGGTGTGAGGCATGAGGCATTTAAACTGAGCTACATGTGCAGCCTTGATCTGCCTGCTTTATGCAGTGGAATGATTTGTCTTGGACACTCAAGCCCAAGTCACCTGCCATCCTGCCTCCCACTGCACAGGGACCCTGGTAAAAAGCAACTGTGCTCTTGCATTTAGGACCCACATAAAAATAACCACAGCTGGAAACATAGGGGAAGAAAATGTTATCTATGAGTAAAATGTAGGAGTGAAAACAGAAATTCCAAGGAAATAGATGAGTCACAGTAAGGTTTCATATGCTAGAGACAGAAGCTTTAAAGCAAGACCTTTTAAAACTCAGTTAACCCAAATCCTATTAAGGACAGGAAAAACCCTTTATAGACTAAAGCCTAGATGGACAGGAGAGCATTGTAGGAACTCTTCTTTACACAAAAATCCTACAAGCATGCAGGGAAGAAGACTGGACTAGAGCCAAAGTACAAATAAACAACAGTTCTTTGCAGAGTTTAAGGAAAATATCTGTGCAGCAAGAGCTTAACTCCTGACAATAACAAGTCCTTCTTAGGAAGAAAAACAGGCAGCTGCTGGAACAAATATTACAGCTCAAACCCCTGAAGCCCTCTGGAAAGCTAGACAGGCAAACATCAGCTTGCAGCAGCATAACAAGACAGAGGAGCAAAACCACTAAATAAAAATACACAAATACCATTTCACAGGCAGCTTCTGCTCAAATTCTCAGTATAATATGCATGAATGCAACCACCTATTATAAAGAATGATTTAGACAGACTGTGAACTACATACAATAAAGTAGTATCACAACAAACCCAGAACCTGGGCACTTCTTTGCAATTCTCATTCTCAGTCTTTAGACCTGCTCAGAGTGATAACAGTGCTCCTCAAAACTCATGGTTCACTATCAAATGGTATAAAAATTTAAAGCACATATACAGGAAAGAATTATTTTAAGAAAACTTTTAGAACCTAACATGAAAATTACACAGATCTGATGCCTGATCTGCAAACCCATGAAAATGGAATTGAACATGGAGTGGCATCACACTAACTAGGTAGGTGGACACAAATTCTGGTTTTCCAGCTCAATATCCTATTGGTGTTTTAAGCAAGAGAATGTACACACTATTGGAGTTATCAAGCAAAAAACTCACATACAGATCCTGTGGAAGGTACCACCTACCATAACTTCCCTCCAACATCACCCACAGCTCTGTGAGTGCTTATTCACAGCACAACAGAAGACCAAAATCAGGTTTATCAAAGTATACCATACTCTCAACTCAGTGCATGATTCCCATATCTCATAACTGAAACAGTGACCAGCACCACTGTACACTGCCCTGACAGGCACTCTTGTGTTTTAATAGCTTTAGCTAAATGGCTTTTAATAAAAAATGTCTTGCAATCACATTTTAGCTGCAGCTACAGCACAGCTATCAGGGGAACCACTGCCTGAGATCACCTTTGAAAGAATGCCAAGGTTCAAAAGAGAAATTAAACCAGCCCAGTTATCACGGATACACATCATGGTGCTGTGCCCAGAGCCAGAAGTTAAAGGTCACTAGGAACAAGGCTGGACGAGATGAATATTTATAAACAGGATGAAAAGAGGGGCATAAAACTAAAAGCACATCATATTTGTACACAGATAGGCTGTCCCATGGGATGTGCCATTGCATGATGAATCCAAGGTTCAGCACATGGAGCTGTTTAGCTGCCCATCGTGATAAATTAAGTCTGAAATGGGAGAGATCCACCTATCAAGCTCTGTAACTTGAGAATCTTTTAACACTTCCTTACAGACTACAAAAGAGCAAGTCCTATATTCCAATATATTTCCTCAAATTGTAGAAAAATGGACAGCACACAGAAATTCTAACTCTTAAGGCATGTGTAATCTGACTGGTTTGTAGAAAACTGGAATTTTAGAATTTTCTTTCCAAGTAATAAAGACCCATTATGACCTAAACAAGACATTTAATGTCTTCATTGTGCAAAAATATCTATAAACCTGATTTCAATTTGCTTCCACTACACTCTACTTTTCTGCAAATTATTTCCAAAACCACAGCCTCCTCTGATGTTCATCAAGTGCTCATTTTTGCTTACACTTTAAAAAGTCTCTCTCCTGGGCAGTCCCTTTTATATACAAACAACATGAAGTGACACAGACTGCATGCTGGAGATGATTAAGAGAAGGCAGGGTTAAATGTGTATCTAAAGAAAGTCACAGCTGTCACCCAAAATATTTCTATACGTACTTAAATGAGCACAAGTCAGCATGTTAATCTTGGCAATTTTGTTATGATGTAGCTGAACTTCCAAGAAAAAAAAAGTTCAAGTTCCATTACCTAAACTTGATAAAGATAACAGCACAAATAGAAAGTGTCTCTCCTGAAGTCCTAAGAAGTAAAGAGAGAGAAGACAAAGGCCAGAAACTTCAGACTTTTATAACAGAAAAGACTCCAAGAGTGGGTCCCAGAGGATTCCTGATGTCTAATCCCATCAGGGGAAACCAAGCAAGCAGCAAGGATGTCAGTCTGCAGGTAACTCAGAGTCATCAGTGTCTGCCAAGAGTTTAATCACAAAGCCAGGCTTTGGTTAATGAAGTCAGGACTTAGCAAAACAGAGTTTCTGGGAGATGAAATGGAAATAAAAAATTCAATCACAAGGTGAAAATTAATCCCAAGTACTCCTACACAAAAACGGGCTATACTGTGAGCTTGAATCTACAAAGATCCTCTAAAATATTTGCTAAAAGTGGAAAAGTTTTATACACTTCTATAAATGGCTTTTACAGAAGTTTATAAAAAGGAAACGAAATGTAGAAATATCACAAGAGACTTAAGACTGGATGAGACCACTCTGCACTCAGTTTTGATACTCCATAGGTCAAATGTACAAAAGAAAAAAGAGGATTATGTACTGAAAATAGTTCCAAAGACTTCCTGTAAAGAAGTCCTCTTCCCAGAATGTAGGATATCCAAGTATCCACTTTCAGAAAATAACAGTTAAACACTATGAAGAGCCTCTCCTTGCACAAAACCAAGACAATCACATTTATTGTGCAAACACAGTTTCCATATTAGTGCCTACCATTTCCCTACTGTCCAAAAAATATTACATGTCCAACAGTCCAGCTGTTACAATTTAACAAACCAGGCAACAGCCCCAGCAGATCCAGATGTGCAGAAAGAATCAGCAGTAAAACCAAAGGAAGAAGGCAGGCACATAAATGAATGGTTCTGTTAAGGACACTTCTCATGTCTCTGTTGGGTGAAATCCACACCATTTTAGCTTATTCACTAAAAACACAAAGCACAAGTGGAATCAACTGCATGCTACATCCCAATCCCAGCAGCAGAACATTTACTTACTCCTGGTTCTACTTGAGTTCTATCTGCAATGTCAATATGGACAACCTCAACACTCTTCCATGTGTTTGGATCTAAATTGTGAACCTGCAAAAAAAGAAAAGAAGGAATTACTTCCATGCTGGGAATCATAGAGTGATGCACCTTGTGCAGTACATGTGTGTGCCAGGGAGTTTTTCAGGATGCTGTAAAGGCAGCATTCTCCAAACCTACCCTTACTTCCTCTGCCTTTCTCAAAGGGAATGATCTCTACAATTACAGTTTAATTCACTCACTAATCAATTTTAAACCAGCACAAAGACTTCACTTCTTGTGCACTCAGGAAACCTGGATTTCAGATTAAGCTGTATTCATCTGTCACATTTGTTAGCACTAATGAAATCAAGCTCTAATTAGTACCATTACCTCTTCCATAATCTGCATGAACTTTTTGAGCTAGACAGGTGGTTTGAAAATTCCAAGTGCAGATATGCAGATTTCAATGACCTAACTGATCTCATAGATTCCTGAATCACAGGCCTGCCTTGAACCAGGTGTAGTCTGAGAGTATGTAAAGGTCTGAGGATGGAATCGGCTCCACACCTGGGGTCTGTCCAGCACACCTAAACTCATTTACAGCCAGTGGAGCTGTCCAAGAACAAAAATCCCCCTTCTGTGTAGCACACCCAGAGTTACAGCTCACCCAAGCACTGGAAGCAGGCTGACAACTACTCCTCTCTGGATGGTTTATAAATGTTTGTCACTACAGATCAAAATTTTCATTAAGTGACACATGAACCAAATTGACTGCCTGGGGAGAAAACAAGAACATCACCAGCTGGGACAATTCACAGAGGCAGCTTCAATATTTAACTACAGTGCTCACAGATCAACTCCAGTAGTCTTGTGAAACCTGTTTCCAAATAAACTTGTCAGCCTAACTTCTCAGCATGTCTACAACAAAAGAACATGAAATAAAAAAAAAGGACCTGCTGAAAAGCTATTTAAGTATTTGCATGAGAATCAAGCATCTGTATTGACCTCTAAACATAAAAACCAAACCCCTTCACAGCTTGACCACCCTTGCAAGAACCTGAAAAATGCTTTTCTTGCTTTACTCATTGGTCAGGCATTGACTTTGTGCAGTAATTATCCACCATCACCAAGTATAAAATACTTTATCTGTACTAATTGTACAATTGCACTAAGGCTTGGTATCCAAACCACAACTCACGTTCTCTGTTGTTCCCAAATCTGGTTTATGCCAGGTCTCAATTTTTATGAAGAAGTCATCTTTCATGTATTCATTCTGTAAGAATAAAAAGCAAAAAGCACAAGTCTGATTACATCTCTCTGCTTTAAGTTTAGATAAATGGTATCTACATACATGCCACTACTAATCCCTGACTAGCAATACAATATATTGAAATTACCAGAGAAACAGCCCCTTACCTACACACAGAAATAGGTACATGATAATCTTAAACCAGAGCAGTGAGTACTACATTAAAACCAGTCATGTTTAAGAAATCCAGCTCTACCTGTGCACACCAGTAGAAATAACCCTGCCATTTGCTGTCCTGCTTCCTCAACCCTGAAGTTCTTTACCTCAGTGTTCAAGTAATTTTCAAATTATTAATCCTGCAGTTAGATGTTACTGTACAGCACAATTACAATCATAAAGCTGGATCATAATGGTCCAGCTGCCACCAAACTGTACATCTAAAGACAATGACAGAGCCCTGCTGATTCCAGAAGTCAGAGGGCACACACCTGTGTGCACAGCTACCACGATGAGTCAAGCTCAACAGCCCAAACTCACTTGTGTCACATCCACATGGTAACAATCTAAACCATGTTTGCAACTGAGCAGATAAAGCAGTTTAACATTTAACTAGTAAGTTTTCTGTAAACAGATCACCAAAACATGTAAAACAGCATTAAAATCCTAATGATGTGCCTCTCCCATGCATATTATAAAAACAAACCCAAATCCTGAGCTGTGCAGATCCATTTAGATTCCCAGTTATCCCATTTTAACTGGGGCAGGAATTCATTTTACAGCAATAGCACTTCAGATAGGCAGGGACTGATTCCATTTCACTGCATTCAGGAGTGTAGAAGCCTCTGATATGTCACTTTTTCCCTACTGCTTTTTTTAGCATTATGTCTTACAAGGACAGACATTATGCATCTGTAATGGTAATTAAAGGCATAAAAGAAGACACAGAAAATGAAATAATTTCTCTGACAAATTACAGTTCTAATTACAGTCACGTGCAGTCAAATAATTTAAAGGGAGTTACTCTGTTATAATTTACACCAGGAGTCTTAACAAGGCACATCTGACAGGCTGGAGCCAGACAATTGTGCTGGTAGTAACAGACAAAATATATCTCAAAAAAAATCCCAATATATGATTGGTAGGGTTTCAAATACTCACTGTCACAACTGGTGTCGTTGGAAAACACGTGCAATGAAAAGGAAAAGAAAACAAAGAGCATTATTAGATACAATTGTTTCTGAAAGGTCTCACATATAAAAGCACCAACAGAACACACATGGGGGAGACTCACTTGTTCTACAGTAGGGATATGCATTCCAGGCCTTCTCGTGGAACACCAGGGAGCCTTCTGGAGCAATCATCCTTACAAACCCAGGGACTTTACTGGGAAAACAAACATGGACAACATGTTTAAAATCCTGCCAGCTGAAATTCCTCATTGCTTCCTTTCACTCCAATAAGAAAGGCACATTCTACCCAAGCATAGGAGGGGTTATGATGCATGTTGTCACCTGCAGTGAAGTACACAGGAACTTCAAAAACCTTCCCGATCATGACATGGTTGAGAAAAAATGGGAAAAGGTAATGATAAGGTAATTGAGAGCGAGCTATGTGATAGTGAGGAATGCTGTGCTATCCTTCCTCTTGCAGAGCAGCAAAGACACCTGCTGAGGATGAGCACTGCAGAGCCCTCACCTCCAGCTCCCTGGAAAGCAGCTCCTGACCTGCAGCAGGAACTTTATGTCCCACTCATCTCCGACTCCTGCTTAGAGTAAGCAAACACAATTCTTTCTTGTCCCAGACAGTGTCCCACCTACTTCAAATCCACTGCATTTCACATTTCCCCACTCACCAGAGCACTCATGCACGATTCAGCAAATTAAACCTCACCTTTCAACATTTCTTGCTCAATACCAAGGGACTACAATGTGCATCAAGGCTTTCCTCACCTCTTTAAATGATAGATTTTGTGAGTATATTGCCCCTTCTCGCCATCCTGTTCATAAGGCTCGTTTTTTAAGACCTGAATTCCTTCCCCACCTCCTGTTTCGTTTTTGCTAGCTTCTGCCACAGAGTAAAGTTGACCAACTTGATACTGAAAAGGGAAGAGAAGCCAAATGTTAGCACCAAAGTTGGCCAAAAACTTTTAACATGTTAAATACAATTAGCTGTTTCCTCTGACAATTCAGTAGTACAAAGAAGACTATTAGCAAAGTAAAATACATCATAGAAAAGATATTTAATGCACTCTGACAACTTTTTGGCAACATGTATCTGCAGCTCACAAACACCAACTCTACACCCCAGCTGTTGCACAGCAACCCAACACTTTGGTGCACAGCATAGCTCTTGGGATAGGAAAACTGAAGAGAAGTGTATTTGTTGTTCTTCATTGCACCAAGAAATATCAATTTTGAGTTTATAGATTTTGGAATGACTGATTTACACCCTGAGTCTTCCCAATTCACACTTTCAACCAACAAAATGCTGCCCTTACAGGACCCAGGAAATGCACACTACAGACCAAGTGTGATATTTCTCTCAGAAGCACATTCAACACTCTGTTATGACAGACATCCTATCATAATTCTCATTTAAGTGCACTTCAGTGCCATTTGAATTGCTGGCTTCAGATCTGGGAAGACAATTCCTTCACCTGTGGCTTCAGGAAGAGGTTTGGAGTCCCTCAGTGCTGGATCAGCAGCAAAGTGCTGCCCCAGGGCACAACTGTACTGGTGGCAGGGCAAGGCTCAGAACGCCTCAATGTTTGGTGCTGCATTTGCTTCCTTGAAAATTCCTTGCCCAGAACAGGGCTCACACCTGTGTCACTCATCTCTGTCAGTGTGGCCACAGCACAGGGAATGTTTGGACTCAGGCTGGCCATGTTTCTGACACAAAATCCCCTCCCACCCCTCAGTCTGAATAAAGCAGGGAGGATTAGGACATACCTCTTGCACTGAGCAAGGTAAAACCACTCGGCTGAAAGAGGAAAAGAGAAAACTCAGTGAAATGAATCATTAGACTTCAACTGCAGATAATAGATATAACACAGATGCTGAAGAAAGAAGTGTCAAAAAGAGCCAAACCAAGTTTTCTCTTCAGAAATCTCTGTGACAGGGAGGCTTTGGATATAACCCAACAAACCCAAGTAAAGTTCAATGCCAGATACGTTACACAATGAAACACAAGGGATGGAAGATGTTAGAAGCCGTTCAAAAGAGCCAGGAAATCTGGGATCCACTTCCAGCTCTGTCAAAATAACTTCGTGTTATGCTAAATTCGTTTATAAACTTTTCAACCTACACATTACCTTTACCACCACTGAGGCTACCGTCACTTTGACTGTAATTATCTCACAAGACTTTGAAATAACAAGCAGCCAAAAGGTGGGACAGAGAAACAAACCAGCCTGTGCTTTGCTGGCAGGAGCCCCCACGGGAAGGATGTACCCCGAGCCGGGAGCAGGGACGGGCTGTGCCCCGCTGCCGTGCGAGCAAGCCGGGGAGAAAGCCCCGGCGGCGGCTGCCCGGGCCCGAGCGGCGCACGGAGCTCGCGGAGCAGCCGCTGCACGGCCGCGGCTCTCGCTGCGGGCAGGGCCCGCCGGCCCCGCCGTGCCGAGCGGCCTCTCCCGTGAGGGCGGCACCGGAGCGGCCCCGGGGCCGCACGGCAGCAGCGGCGCGGGCGGGCCCCGGCGGCGGGCGCGGCCGGGGCAGACCCGTCGGGGCGCGGGGCCCGGGCGCTGCAGAGGTACCGGCGGCCCCGGTGGCCGCTCCCCGCGGTGCCGGCCCGCCCCGTGCCCGCCGCCCCGGCCCGGCCCCGGCGCTGCCCCCACTCACAACTCCTTGATCAGCACCATCTTCCCGCCGCTCCGCGCACGCGCCGCTCCCACCCCCCGCCAGGCCCCGCCCCCCGCCCGTCCGCGCGGCCAATCGCGCTCGCGCCTCGCCGGGGTTGGGGGGGGGCGCGCACGCGCCGGCCGCCCGCCAATCCGAGGGCGCGCAGCTCCCGCGAGCTCACACCTCACCCGTCGGCAGCCAATCGGAACGAGCCGGGCCGGCCCCGGGAGCGTTGCTGGCGGGGTGACGTCAGCGCCGGGCGGCCGTGAGGGGCGTGAGGGGCCGGGGAGCGGGGCCGGCATAGGGAGCGGTGCGGCGGTCCCCGGCACCGAGCGCGGCCCTGCCGGGCAGCGGGACGGCCCCTCCGCACTGCCTGGCGGGCGGCGACGGGCCGGTGCTGCACACCCCGGTTGCTCGCTCCGCGGTGTCGGGCCCTCGCGACGCCGTTACCGAATGGGGTCACCCGCAGCGTGCGGGGAGTGAGGAGCTGCAGTGCTGGTGAATTTCGGGGTTCCGCTGTCACACCCAGCACCGTGTGCGGCTCCTCTGCATCTGTCACACGCGGGAAGGTAAAATCCCTTTTTACAATGTTTCATGCAAAATCCTTCACGCGCCGATCCCTGTCAGCTCTGGGCTGCCCCTGTGTTGCCACGCAAATGAAAGCGCAGAAAATCCGCAGCTGACTCGGTTTCCGCGGCCAATGCCGCCCTCTTGTGAGACCGTTCATTTCAGCCTCCATCGCAGGCACGAGCAGGACGCAGGGATTAATAACGACAACCTAACAAAGTTCAGCCACGCTGGGGCTTCCACCTTCAGCTGGCGCTAGAAATTACAAAATGAAAGTAGTCTGTGGGTCTAAAAGCTCAGAAACCTTGAAAGAAGGCTGAAGTCAGCCCCAAGTGGAGCCCTTCAGGCTGTGAGGAATTCCAGTGGTCCCTCAGGGGTGTGATAGCGGCCAGTGCAGGGCAGTGTGACAGGGACAAGTCCTACCGCAGCTCCTGGCTGGGGGCAGAGGGATGGGAGCACCCAAGGCAAGTTCTGTGTGTTGAATTTGGCTTTATGCTGGTTTACATAACGATGGAAGTTATCCTATGGCAATATGTTGCCCTAAGAACAAAGCAGCCAGGAAACATACTTCCACTCTGAGCTCTCAAAAATTGTAATTCAGGAAAAATGGCAGGATTTACTTAAAATTATGTATTCTAAATATATTTATTTGCTTTCTAGTTCCTGAGCATTAGCTTTCATTTTTATCCCCAGATGTTTTTCACAGCCAGCAGACTTTTGCTTTCCCTCTGTTTGAAATGCACAGAAAAAAATGTAAAATCAGGTAAACGGGAAAGAAAAACACACTTTGTGTTCCAGTGGTGCATCCTTTTCCTCAGAGGTGATCTGTGACCCTCTCTGCTAAGCCCTGGAGAAGCCATCGTCCCCCACATTTCTTCTTGCCAGGAGCAAGAGAGGCATTTACACAAATCCTGATAAATCCTGATAAAATTCAGTGTTGCAAAGCACGCCTCTCCCACATAAAAGTCTGTAAACCCTTGGCAGGCTCTTCCTACGAACACCTCTTTCCATGGAATCCTTGAATGGTGACTCAGGCCTGCCCTGGCTCGGGCCATGAGGAGCAGCAGGGTGGGTGTAAATCTCAGTTTCCCCAAGCATTGAAGATTTTCCTTTATTTGGTTTTTCAAAACGCTGGCAGCGTGCAGTCCCTGCTGCTCCTTCCCCATATGGACAACATTTGCCTGGTGTTTGCTCAGCCCCCAAAGCCTCTGTTTACAGCCACACACGAGTGTCACAAGCAGCCACATCCCGCTGACCCAGAGCTGGCACAGACAAAGCGCTTGAGCCCAGCTCCACCACAGCCCCTCTGGAGCAGGGAACGCTGCGCCAGGAGCTGCTCCTCGTGGCAGAACCAGCACTGCCAGCGGCCCCTGGCTGCTCTGGCTGTTTAGTTTCCAACTTCCCCTTGGTACAAGGGCACCTTTCACATGGGGGCAGAAGAAGATTTAAGTCATTGAGTTCCAGCTGGCATCGGTATGGGGACATCTCTCATCCCTCCAGCACTGGGCTCCCTCACAACCCTCAGAGCACCTCCCAGCCCTGCATGTCCTCTGCTACAAGAGATAGAGGTAAATACTGGTGCTCTCACCACCTGTCAGGAGGAGGAAAAGCAATTTCCAATGAGCACCAGTACCAGGAACACTGCACTGCACACAAAGGGAAGGGAAGTTCCTGAGAGAGCTGCCCTGAGTTCCAGCCACACTCTGCCACAGTATGTGGTCACACAGGGGAGCTGGGTGTGGGCACAGAGTAGCAAGCCAACATCCCCAGCATCCTTCCAGATCAAGAGACTGAGGCACTGAGAGAACTCATGCTTTAATAGACACTGAAATCACAAAGAAGAAAAGGCCAAATGCCTTAGCAATTTCAATAAAAATATGAAAATCTTTTTACATGGTAAATTTCATAATATAAAAAGTTTAATGCTGTCTGGAAACAGAGTTTTAATTTACAAAGGAAGTCCATAGAGGCCAAAACATGGCTAACACTGCACGTAGGGAGAGTGAGTGCTGAAGGGCTGCTGCTGGGAAGCCTCTGCTGACCATCCTCTCTGGGTCACTGTCTCCAGTGCTCTTCTGCAGCTGAGGGGACGAGTGTCCACACACACGTGCAGCCCTGCTGGGCAGCGTGGCAATGCAAAGAACCCGAAACTGCTCAAACCCATTATCACCATCCAGCTGAAACTACCAATGCTTCCTAACAGATTTACAGACACCTCTGTGCCCTGGATCTGTTCTGCAACTTGGAAGAGATGTTCACAGAATGAGCTTGCCCTAATGAAAGAAAATATGGCCTAGAGTGATATGCATGGGTGTAGCATCCCCCCAGTGCTTTTTCCTTGTTTCAGTAAGGTATGATTAAACAGAAGGAAAACCAATATCAGGCCAGAGGTACAGGCTAACCAACAAAATGAAATTAAACTAGGTTTTGATCACAGGGGTTGTTTACTGTTCCCATTTAGCTGGAGCTAAAGACAGTCAATAAAAAATCTGAAATCTCACACAGTAAAACATACAGGGCAAATCCAAAACATTCTGTGGCCTTGGGGAATGGTTGCATGTGGCAGGTTTAATGTGAAAGTGGTTAATACCTAATTGTTATTGCTCACTGTATTACGCAGTGTTGTCACTTGTACCATGCACAAATACAACAACGACAAATGCATTAAACCCACAGAAGGAATTCTAACAGCAAATGGAGAACATATGATTTTCATTTCCTGAATTTCTCCACGTGTTGGGCAAACCTGATAAAACTCTTTTTTTTTCCTCACAAAGGGGTTGTTTTTCATTCAGGTGGAGGAGTGAGGGACAAGGTGTGCAGTGTCTCCCAGCCACGAGTAAGCATGCATTTCATGGCTCCCGGCAAGCCAAGGGAAGTGACCTGTGCCAAGTCAACGGAGACCTATTTCCCAAAAGACTTGTTCTAGTGACACTCACCTTCCATATTTATACAACATCAAATTCCCCAAATACTGAACTTTCTCTACATCTGAACCCTTCCCTGCTTCTAATGCTCCCCCCTCCTTAAAAACAACAACAGAAGAACCACTTCCCCACACCCCCCACCCCGATTTAGCTCTGTCTGGAAGCTTTAAGCCAGCATGAAACCTGCCAGAGCACAGAAATGGGTTGTAACAAAATGGCAGCACAGAATTTCTACAGGTTAAAAGATCCTTTAGTTATGGAAGTAAACTACAACAAAGAGGCTTATTTCTGGCATGTTATGCAGCACTACAGGGAGTATTTGCTGTTGCTATAAACAAAAAGCTGCCCACTTCCATCCTGGGTGTTCCTGGGATGTCGTTTCAAAAAGTTTATGCTGGTTAGAAACAGAGCAGGTCACATGAAGTCTCTCAGCAGTCCTGTGACCACAGTAAGTGGCATGATCAACAGCATCTCTGTCTCCACAAGGGGCAGACACTGTGCTGACTCATTTTGGCCCACTATTCTAATTTTTCCTGCCAAATGACACGAAGGTGATGTTTAGCACCAAACCATCACAGGAAGATGTCATATACAAACAAGTAACTTGCATCATAATGAGTTGAACAGATTGACTCAACTGTTCTGCTACATTGTGTATGAGTAGGTAACTACTCTTTCTCTCTGCACTGGAAACTTAGTGATCCCCCCTCCCTTGTTAGCTGGCTGTAACAACCCAGCCCAGTATCCTTTGCCTTTAGTGCTTGTGTTCATTTCTTGCCACAATGAAAAGGAAAACATTTTCCAGAAAACCAGCAGACTCCAGAATATTCTCACAGCATGCATCTGATTATGCCTGTGAGTAAGCTGAGCCTAAGCATTCTCATGTTTCCATATCAGAACTGAATTCTCTGCCCTGCTATCATGCTTTTCCTCCAAGATCTCTTAGGAAATCACAAATTATCAGATCCACGTTTACAACAAGAGCATCCAGCCATGCTAAGTACAATTCTCTGCATCAGCAACATACCTCTGGTACATCCACAGAGCTGCCTGCACTCTCCATTCAGCTGCAAGACTGGAAGTTGACTTCAGATCCAGCTAAAACTCAGGGACTAATGAATTCAGCCTCACAACACCTCTGTGAGGTAGGTAGGTAAGTATTACTATCCCCATTTAGATAGAAAGGGAAGACGAGGCACGGAGAGGTGAAGTGATTAGCCTTCAGTCACTCAGCCAATTCTGGGAGTGCAGAATAGACACCAAAATCCTTGGTGATACAGTGCTCCGACTTCACAGCCTGGGAATACCTTGTGTGGATCTGAGCTCACGTGGCGGGGTCACTGCTGCTGCATGCCCACGGCCTCAGTGCATGTAAACGATCACTGGGATCCTGATCACACCACTGCATTCCACAGCCACCTAGAAACCATCTCCAGCCTGCCCCCAACTCCTAAACCCCACCTAGCCTAGGGAAGCTGACTGTACATATTGCCCTGGGGGTGCTCTTGGTCACCTTTCCTCCACATTTCAGAGGGCACTCAGGTTCTGCATCCAGCCCCTCCGCTTGCTGCCTCGTGTTCTGCC